ACTGATGAAGCCGTGGCCATTCCTATCACGTTTAACTGGACAACCAATGTCCCCAACTGCTTTATATTAAACGACGCAATCAAGCGATTCAATTGGGGACTCCGATTGCGACATCCACTTTCGGAGGCATCATATGCACACGTCTCACAGTTGAATACACTGACGGTTTCAGTTACTGGTGGCTGCGATGAGCGCATGCGGGCCGCAGTGCCAACTGAATCTATGAAAGAAGAATGTAAGTTAAGCATTTTTATCTAACGCTATTTACATTTTCGACTTTAGACACGTTGGAAATTGCAAATGGCCATATCCATATCGCTGCACCGGAAGTGTGGGGTGCGATGCACGCATTGAACACAGTTGTGCAGCTCGCTTACTTCTCTAGGACTCATCAGGTTAGACATCCAAATCGCATGATTGATTTCGTCATCCTTTTAGGTCTTTTTGAAAGGCGTGAAAATTGAGGACTCGCCCAGATTTCCGTTTCGTAGTTTTCTGATTGACACATCTCGACATTATATTTCTACTCAAAAAATGAAAGATTTCCTCGTAACTTCCAGCCCTTTTTACTTCTATAACCAACTTGACCTAAGGAAGCCATGGCGTTTGTGAAAATGAACATATTTCACTGGCACATTGTTGACGACCCTTCATTTCCTTTTGAATCTTCGACATATCCGGGTCTTTCGGGAAAGGTGAGTACACTTTTCCCGTATCAAAAAAGTTATTAGAGTGCATTTTTGATGTTTAAAAAAGTGCATTGAGTTGAAGCCTAACTATATGCAAGGATAACATAATAATTGCATTAAATGGCGGTCGGTATTAAGTGAACATAATAACTTCCGGAAAATTCAAGAAAGTTAGCGGATTTTACAAGTACTGAAGTTTAGATTTCACGTTAATGCTAACAGAGGATTGGTTAAGGGGTCCGAAAGGAAAATTTAGGTGTCAATAAAAATTAGCATGCAAAAAAAACTTCCTCCTGAGAACAAATAGAGTTGTTTTGTATACAAAGGAAATATGTGACTATTGAAGTGCCCGTATATCATTTCATGGATAGAGAGAAACATACTGTTTTCTCGAGTGAACGCACTGCACTATGTGTGTAATTTTGATTAAGATTAAGTTTGGAAGAGTGCACCTCCTTCAATAGTTGGTTAGTGTGCAATGTAAAAAAGGGTTTTCATCTAGTCAAACTTCTCGGAGTCGTTAACAGCGAAACAAGTTAATGCATTTAAGTGTTCTAGAAATTCAAAATAAAACGAAATATAGACCCAAACGTCATAAAAATCATCTCAATCAGACGGGTTCCTGACAGGATACCTCGTTGGTCTCCATATATTTTCGGCTAAAGTTTCACTTTATGCGGCTATTTGTCGTCTCTTTATTTAGTTTTGGCATTATTCATTGTACCAAGCAATTTTCCATACCGATCGTTGATGTTTAGGGGGCTTATGATCCATCGGCTGCTGTTTATACAATTGACGATGTGAAGGACATTATCGAATTCGGCAGACTACGTGGAATACGTGTGATGTCCGAGTTCGATACACCAGGTACGAGAAAAGTTAAAATTCAGATTTCAAATATCCAAAAACATTAGAGTTCAATTTTTTTTACCGAAGAAATACTAGATTTTCACACAAAACTCATGACTTCTATGTTGGCAGGTGACACCGTATTTACTGCTCGGGCAAAAAATTAATCAGTTGAATTCCTTTACCTGATAATTACTCATAGCTCCCGAATAAATACTATATTTTCTAATTTACAGCTGACGCAAATCCCATGACCACTATATTAACAGATAACACCGTGTTAACTGCTGGGACGAATTTGGAGGGCATTGGTCTTTTTATTGAAATACAACTATTTAACATTTCTGCGGATTTTTGCAGCACGGCTGTCGTGGGTGGAATCCTTGCAGAGTTTCCTCTGGAAGCAATTGTAGAAATGAACTACTTTCCGGTATCTGTTTTAAGGTGACTGAGATAGACTGGACCACTTGGTGAACTTCCAGCCGTTGGCAAAGATAAATGGAATAGATGGATACAAGAACTCGGTGCCTCATTCCTCCGAAGACATATAGAACGTACCCATGATAACTTTAGTGAAAAAAACTTGCAGCATAATTAATCAGTCATCATCAAATTCAACGGAAACTGCCCCGTACATGAAGAAACGTAGTTCTACCCACTCTATCTACTCGAGAGAGTTTACATATACAGCAGCAAGCCAGCAATTGAAAGAAATGAATGACTTCTACTCCGGGCCTTCTATGGGATTAACAGATATCGAATTTATTATATAGACAGTAATAGGAGCAATCATTTGAAGCATGCAAAGGTATTTGTTACATCAAAGGCGTTTTCCGGAAGGCATTTTGATTGATATAACTCTCCAAATTAGGTGTGACCAATAGAACATAAACGAAATTTGTCAGTTTCTGATGCAGCCTGAGGACACGTTGTCACTTACCAGAACCTCGCTAATAGTTTATCAAATTAGACAGTACTAGGAATATATCTATAATGGAAAAAGCTGACGAAGATTGTATCAGGCTCCCAAGCGCATGTCTTACTAAACCGGAGGTTAGACCACAGCTTTCCGTATGCAGTACGATCAGGGAAACTGCTTCCTGGACCTTGCAGTTTTGCTTCTTTTGACAAATTTGTCATAATCGGAACGAACAGAAGGTGACAGTCCCAGGCTGATTAAGATCAAACATGGGACGGACCGAACGAGATGCGTAATTTTCAAATATTAAATTGGGCCATAGGCACGTGGACCTTTCACTGTCTTCAAAGTACCATATAATTACCTAAACGAAGGTCACGCGAAATAACCTCAGTGGATTTAGGAAACGTAGGCAGGGTGAGGCTTATAATAAGTCCACTCAGAGGTGAAACGTTGGTGCCAAAAACTAAACATTCCTCATAGAAATCTAAATACCCATCATAGAGGTGGCGATTAACTACGCAGGTATTTGGCAGACACGGTACCACCTACCAGACGGCTGAGAAATCGAAAGGGTAACAAATTGATCGTTCCACGACCAAATAGCTTACCAAGTCATTTCAGATACTGGGCGATTTGTTCGTAAAATACATTGAGTAAGGAGAGAGTATCAAGAAAATAGAGAATTCTTAAGTAGAGTTAATAGATCCCGATGAGCCATTACTTCCTCTCTCCATAAAGTATCACGGAGAGTTCAAATGTGCCCATCTGATGGCTGTGTGAATTTGAGTTATGAAACAGCACTTCGCAAAACATACTTGACATTGGGTATAATAGCATGGGGAATGCTTTTTGCTAATCCATTGAAGACTGACGGATTGAACCCGAGACATCTTATTTAGCTAGTCTATGTATGTTCTCTGCAACTTCACGTCCCGCATATTTATTATGCTGCCTTGGTTGTTGAAATTTTTATGAAAATTATGGCTAGAATCTGGCCAGTTCGCTTTAATAACTTTCTACCTTTTTTGCGGACTATTAAAAACTTCGTTTTCAGAGGCACATTTTCTGTAAAATTCCACAAACGCCAATGGCAACATACAATCATGGAATTGTGATCAAACAATCGCACAGTTTATATTCTCCCCAATCTTATATTCATACACATGCCTGCATGCGAGAGTTTCTATGAAGGCCAGACTATGAAGCGAAGGATTAATTCTTCCTCCTCCGATATAATGTAGGCCACACACAGTCCTGGGGCAAAGGATATCCCCATATCCTCGCGCAGTGTTTCAAGGGCGGAATGCCCAACGGTGAATTTGGACCAGTTGATCCATCAAGGAATTCCACCTACGAATTCATGAGGGCTCTATTTAACGAGGTTACGAGTATGTTCCCAAAGAACTACCTCCATCTCGGTGGAGATGAGGTTGACTTCGCCTGCTGGTATGTTCCGATTTCGTCTCTATTTCATAGACAGGCAGTCAAATCCAAACATCACAACTTTTGTGGAGCAAATGCAATTTGGTAAGGACTATAAGAAGCTGGAAAGCTACTATATTGCTCGACTACTGTCAATTTTGCAAAGTCTACCGAGTTCGGAACGGAAATTGAGATCGGTAGTTTGGCAGGAGGTGTTTAACAACGCACCGGAAGTAATTTTTTGCTTGCTCAGAAAGATCGACTTTATTTTTCTAGGTTTCCAAGGATGTGACGGTTCATGTTTGGATCGATTCGCACTGGGATACGGAACTCAGAAAGATCACTGCGGCCGGTCATGAGGCTGTTTTCTCCGCCTGCTGGTACCTCAACGTAATAGGCTATGGTGAAGACTGGCCAAAGTACTATACCTGCGACCCCGGGACTTTCACAGGTAAATCTAAAACGCATGATACTAATTACCTAGAGAAGCAAAAAGGATTGTCGAGTTACATTCCACTAGGACTATTACATTGCACTTTCCCTTAAAATGCCTTCGAAACCGAACGCTAAAATCACTGAAAGCTTTAATCGTGGGATTAGTAAAACTTTGCATAAATGACGACAAGCATGATGAACCAGAAGTATGCATCGCGTTTAATGTTATTTTCTGAAAATTCTGAAGAAGAATGGACTAGCTGGTTTAGTAGCAAGGACAGGCCAACCGTTGCAGTAAACTCTGGCCTGTTTGCTCGGGTTTATGCAAATTGGTTGGGGCCGTTGATATTTACATATAGAGCTCCCTAACAGGGACGGTAGGACGGAAACTGCCCGCGATGTAGGTGTGTTTGCGCCAATTTCTAGGAAAAAAGGGTCGTGTTTATAGTTAAAGTTAACGTTACGTTGAAGATTATGTTTAAAATAAGCGTTAGAGCAAGTTGATGGCAAGCCTACGATTAATTTAAACGTTAGCATTAACTACGGTTTTAGGGTTTAGGCAACAGTTAGGTCACGGGAACAACTTACCTTCCTGAACTTATGCACGGACACGTGTCCAATCTAGGGGGTCACACTACTGATCCCTACCGGAACTGGAAACAAGAAGAGCGTAATCTTCACTAAATATTTTAAGATTATTCTACATTTGTCCCGCAAAATATTTCAATCTGGCGTAGCTGTCTGCATTTTGCATGATACATCTTTTCGATGTAGACTAAGAATTAACAGGCACGTTTCAATCCATGCGGTAAGAAACCTGTATCAGCCAAATACTTTATTCTAGAACGGAAGCATTAAGGAGTCAAAAAGCTTTTCGCTGGAAATTGTGATATTCTTAACCTTTATCTAGATTTAACCAACTAGATTGGAGACACATCACGCGCCATCTTCATCTTATGCCTGTAACTTGCCTCCTGTATAACAACACGAAGAACACTTACAAAACAAAATGGTACATGTGTACAACATAGTTGCATGTGATCGCACTCATAGTTTATAGACGACTGGTTCTGCAAGTTGTACGCTTCTTTGTATTAATGGCTTATTCGGATAACAGTCACACACCCTCGCCAAATTTGGCCACAGCTGATCTACGCTTGATAGAGACAATATGCACGTGACCATAATGTATCTTACTTTTTGAAGTCTGTGTAGACAAAGGTTTCGGTTCGCAGAACAACGCTTATTTGTTTTTTACTTTCCTTTTTTAGCAGACGAAAAGCAAAGAGCTCTTCTGAAGGGTGGTGGCGCAACAATGTGGTCCGAATACGTTGACGAAACCAATTTACTTTCACGCTCATGGTAAGTCCTCTGTCCAGCTCCTTATCGAAGCATCAGAATTCCACTCAACAGTTCAACATTCCTTATATTCTTGCACACCATCCAGACAGCCTGTGACTTGCACAGGTTTCTACTTAAGTTTTTGCTCCTCGCCGCGTACTTTCATTTTGATATTGCTAAGTCCAGTCTTTTGCACTTTTGTGAAATCCTGACTGTCCTCTTAAAGGCCTAGAGGAGCGCCAGTTGCGGAACGGCTCTGGAGTCCTGCATCGGCCGCCGATGTGAGGGAATTCCGTCCCCGAATGGAGGAAATACGCTGCAGATTTCGAGAGTAAGATTGAAGAAAATATTGTTGTACGTTATTAAAAGCGCAAAAGTAGCCTTAGTACATAATGGGGGTACTCTGAAAAGTTCATCTGTCCTACTTAACTGAATTCCGGAATTTTCAGGCGGGGCATTGACGCTGAACCGGCAATTGGCCCAGGATACTGTTTCGGCCATTGACCCATACAGATTTCGAGTGCTCTCCACAAAGTGTCAACAGGTAGCCCTCCTCAAATAGGCCAATGAGCATCAAGTCTTAAAATTCATCACTGCCTGCTTGCTCTCTCTCTTTCGGAATAAATTTTTTCAATATTCTATCTCCGTTTTTATTTAGAAAGCGTTAATATCCAATTCCAAATGTATACCGTCCTTATCATTTGCGTTTCGTTTCAGCACTGAGAGACTAACCGTAATATACGCTCGACTAGACTGCTGCATAATGATGCTATGCCCTAAAAATATTACCTTCCGCATACATAAATAAGACGATTGGCTTTAAAATTAGGAAGAAAAAAGTTGTTGTTTAGTCGAAACAAAACTAAAGCTCTGTAAATTTCAGATTTACACGTAATTGGCAGTGGTTTAATTAACGTTCGTGTGAGTTAATTGTGCTGCTGAAAATAGTTATCCATATAAGTAGAAACGCAGGAATGTAGTAGCCTGAGGACTGTCTACTAGTTTAGCGCACCCTGTTCAAAACCGCTTCAAACATACTCAGAAAATATGAATTAACTGAGGAAACTAGCTAATAACTGCGACAAAACCAGCAAACCCACAGCTAAAATTACCTCGGTGAAATCTCACAACCTTAGCAATGCACAGAATTTATATGCTGTTTTTGAAAAATATTCTGCTGCCTAGACGGTCACACAGCGTATCGCTCGGTATGCTATCTCGTCAGTAGGTAAGGTTGGATGGTTATGAATGCTCCACGGCCCAATCGCTTAGGACGAACGTATACACATATATATAGCAAAGCACTTCTGCTATTCATAGATATATATGGAGTGGATCCGCCAAGCGCAAGGGAGACCGGAATGGCCCTTTCTGGCTTGTTAGCCGTCAGCAGTCAGTCATACCCAATGTCAAGGGTTGGAACCCTCGAGGTTCGAACCCGGGACCTTCGGTCATTGAGTTTTATACTCTACCTCGGCACCACGGGCTCGTTGCTTGTCGATTGTGATCGTGAATATGATGGAACTGGGGTGTTCATCCGATCTATTTGGTTAGA